TAGATTCGTACTTTAACAAAATCAAACTAATATTCACTTTTGACTGGTATTTCATGGAAACCTCACATCAAATACATCTATGCCTTGCTATGTAGAAAGTATATAAAAATGTTAGAGCAAAAGGCAACATTACGTAGTCTGATTTTGTTAAAGTATGAGTACTAAACATTATTATACTACGAATATCATACAAAATGTATGCTGCGCATACAAAATTTTTACGAGTTATTAATTTATTTCGAATTTTAGCTTTGATTCGGAAATGAATGTGTTCGCATTTAAGGCACACAAAATTAAGGGTTAGGATAAATATAGTGTTGAAGTATTCTTGATATTGACATTTTTTGTTTTTCAAATTATCCCACGGTAGGTGTCCTACCTTAACAACACCTGGTCATGTCAGTCGTTGTTTGAATGGCTGGGTACATTTTACATGCTTATAAGTGCGCACATATACATTTGACCTTGATTTGCCACATATATCTCATTATTAGTATTATTAAGCATTTAGGGGATGATTTTAATATGAGAAAGTCATATCCACCACTTTCCTCTTCTGAGGCATCGTTGCGTCTTCCTATAAACTGCATATCTGCATACGACGGTAAAATGCTATTTACCAGTAATCTATTTATATGATATCCTAGTGATTAATTCATATTAAAAACACCACCTAGTAACCTGGAAAGAAGTGATGGAATGGAGTCTCGAACCCGAGCTTTCCAGGTGGAAAGCAAGCGCTCTACCACTTTAGCCACTGAGAGCTCCCAACACTGCATGCTATCATCTACTGTGAATTTGTGAAATTAGGAAGTACTTATACCTAATATCACACTGTTGGCAGCTCTGCTTGATTTTAAGAGCACGCCTATTCCAACTATGCACAGGAAAAATTAAGCTTGCAGCTAACTTAACGAGAAGACCATTTCTCGGATACTGAGCCTGAAAAAATATTGTTTTGATCATTCCGAGATACATATGTCTCGTTCTTCTTGTTCTAACGACTTTTTGACCTTTTTTTTTTGTTAGAGCTGTGGACTAGGATTGAAGAGACTTAATTAAACCAAAATACATCAGGCATACCGGCAAAAATACTTATTTTTTAGTATTTGAAAATTCAAGTATGCCAATCTGAAGTAAATAGTAGCGTGGTCGCTAAGGCTTCGTCTGCTTTCTCAAATTTACCTCGTTGTGCTCCCGCACGACTTAATAAGTTAGACAAAGACTAAAGAGTCAAAGAGTCGAAAGAGTAGATGCTCAGTTAGTTGCCATACACTGTCATACCTGTTAGTTTGTAAGATTTTTTTACACTTTGTTATCGGACGGCTTGACAGTTGGGAAGGCTAAGCCCCGAAACTTAGTCTCTTCTGGCTAGGTAGCTAGAAAATTCGTGCAACGTTGGACTTGTGTTAGTCTTGAGAAGGACTGTGTGGGGGATGTAGCTGTGTCAACAATACAGCGTTCTTAAACTGCGCATGCGGCTCGTGCTGCGCCTTCGCGACACGGCAAACTCCTCCAGGATCCTTATTTCCTTTGGAGGGCACAGCGGTAATTTCCGCTTGGTTTTATTAAGTCGTCCAGGGTCTCGTAGCTCGACGAGAATCAATCTCAAGGGCTTTGAGAGGCGCGGCGGTGTTTCGGCAAGTGGTGCTCGAGCAGGCAGAATGAGTGTCCTGGGCCGAGTCGGCTTGCGTATGCAGGCCGGACAGCCCGTATCTGGCTGTACCGGTGAGTAGCCCTCAATATTGTCCTTGAAGCCGTCGAAGAGGCCGGTCTCTTGGCTGAGAGCGGTATCTGGTTCTGGTGGCACGAACCGTCCTATGGTTGCCGGGAGGACTGCATCGACCGTTACCTGTTCGAGTAATGGGAACTGAGGGGTATCGGGTGGAAGCTCGCTGATGCTTGGAGCAGCTCGGAATATGACGCTTCAGATGACTGGGTGAGGTGGTGAAGCTGCGTCAGGCGTTGCAATGAACCTCTCGGCAGCCGTTCGTTGCGATGGCCCCCCGTGTCTTCGGCGGTTCCATTTCAGGCGTTGCCTCTCTTTACGTCACCGAGGAGGGCGTACTGGCTGCGGCCCTAATAAGCGAAATGAGCGGAGTGGCGTTGGTGCACCGAACCTCACCAGGTTGAACTCTGCGGGACTCTGATCGTCTGAGTTGCGACGTCCTAGGAGCTTAGCTCGACCAGCGTAACCATCCGTTCGGGGGCGTAGGACTTAATGCCAAGTGAGAGAAGCGTTCGGACAAGTGAGAGCCAAGCACGGTCCTCGAAGAGAGTCCTCCGAAGATCGGCCTTGCCTGCCCAACCTGTGGCCCATGCCACAAGTGGTTGCCTAGAAGTGACCAGGTAAATGAAAGGGAAACAGCATGATTTTCGATTGACCTCAAGACTTTATTTGTAAAGATTTCTGTCAGCAGCGGTTAAGGGGGCACCTGGCCTAGCGACTGCCTGGTAGGGTGTTGATCTGATGAGAGCTGGGTCTCCTCTGTCTCGTGAGGGCCACGAGCCTCCTTCTTATCTCGTTCGGGGAGCTGTTTTTGCTCCATGATTCGCGCCAAAATGTGTGGAGTGGGAAAAAAGAAGTCACGCGCAAATGTTTGGCTATTTCCTGGGAACAACTTGACATTGAGCACTGGCTTAATTTTCTAGCTTTTTAAGAAGCTGTCCAATAATATAATTTCTAACAAATAAGAGTGGTTGCGTTATATGGGAGTAAAAAGTGATAATTAATGTCAGTTGGTTAGGTAGGAGTCTAAAAAAATGATTTGAATTTAGTTTCAGATACTATTGTACGTGTCCGACAACACTCTTACTGCTAATTTTTATCAAAAGTAATAGTTAAAGTTATTTTATTTCAATACAAAGCTTAAATGCATCGTATAGTCTATGACAATGTTGTTTTCAAGTTATTCAAATACATCCAGAAAACCTTTTAAGTATTAACAGGAATACAACAAAAAGTACAAATAGTTAAAAATAAACGAATAGATAAACAAAAATAAAAAACATAACATGTTGACAAATATACTGCAGAGTATAGACATAGAAAGACATGCTGCCAGGTACACTTGTTCCTTAGAGAGTACAAAAATTACCTGCCTTCATAAAATCCTCCTATTATTTCAAAACAGCTGATAATATTTCTAATGTCTTTATTACATCTGTCACATATACTTACACAGACATTTTTTAGTCACGTTTATAATAACAATTACTTAATATCCTTTAATCTTAGAAAAAAACATTCTGTGGTACCACTTTATTTTAAAAGGGGTAGCATTATACATCAGGAAATGTAGCTTAATTCAAACAGTCACCTTATTTACAAATACAGAAGTTTAAATAATTGTACATATCTAATATCATATTAAAACCACGGATAGTAATTTAACAGAAAGTGAATTTTTGTTCCACGTGTCAGAATAAAAGTACCTTTTATTAGCGCAACTTGTGGAAAATATTTGCATCGTTTTACATCACATGACCACCGTTTAGTACATATATTCATACATATTATGTTATAGCAAACATGAGAGTACTAAGAATGTGTGAATCGCGTGTAACATAAGTGGTACATATATTTATACGTATATGATGTACGTGCGTGTTTGAATAATTAATAATATTTACATTCTCACTATTTAAAAACATAACACACGTGCTGTGAAGTTAATATAACCTATTAATTACAGAAGGTTTCATAATACAGTGGGTAAGGCTCACTGCAACCAGATTTATTCTATTTGTGTTTTTACTGCAACAGTGTTATAACATCAAGTGTTGTATGGTTGATGCAGTTTCAAATTCAGTGAAAACTCATACACACGCGCACACACACAAACTCGCGTGAGCGCACGCATACACAGAGAGAGATCGAGACAATAAAGAGATGCAAAGACATTTTCACTATTATATTTGCTTAAGTGTATAAAGATATTCTCAGTGCTTATAAACTTAAAAGTAGGGATATTTAGTGACAATTTACTTTTTATGACTCTAATGTTATTACTTACTTTAAGTTCATTAAATATTATTGTATAGGATAAGTTTTAAGACTGTTCGTAATTTTTGTTATTTTGTTCAAAAGCTCAGTGTAAACATTGTTAAGAAAATGATGACCTTTCTTGGTATTATTAATATACCAGTTGTATCGAGAGCTCATGATTGTTATATTCAGTGTGTTATTCATTTGTACTCCATGCTTATACCCACCTGATCTGGTACCTCAAAAGTGCACTAACATCAGCACTTACTAATCAAACTTAGTAATACAGAACTCATAGTTTGTCATTAGTTGAAATAATTGTGATGCGTATCTCCACATGTGGGCTTAGTTGACTCCTCTTCATCATTAATATGATGTGATATTTACTTACGAAACTTTAAAATAAAAAAAAAACTTACTGTTAGAAGGGCATGTTTTTTTTGTATTTAAAAAAAAATTTTGTTCCGAAAGGGAATCCGTAAAAATTTTAGCAATTATGCAATTATCTTTAAAAAAAGACACTCTTCACGTTCAGAATTTTTAATGTCTTCATTAAGACTAACGGTTTCTAAAAAATTTAGTAGAGTATCGGGTTTACAAAGCTTGAAACTTAAGTATTCTTTTTTCGTTCTCAGTTGAAGGACATAATATTAGTTAGCCTTGCAATGTTTGTATTACTGCACATAAATCCATGGGCATACTGCTAATTTTAGTTGCTGCATTTAGAAAAAAATCTCTTATTTTTAGAGTTTTCACGTATGTACATAATAATATGCTAGTGGCCTTCTTCTACTTTGTCTTGCTCACACACATAGTAACAAAAAATCCACGATCAAGTAAGTGCATTACAATTATATTTATAAGGTGGCTCAGTTAAATGTATGAAATATAAATGTTAACAATAGCGTCTAAGTTTTTACTATATTTTCAGTATTAAACTTAATGTCTGTTGTGAAAATTTTTATGTCCACCAAACTGAATGACTGCTTTCAAAAGTATTAAAAAATTTAAGTTACATATTAGGTGTCTCATTAACTAAACAACCTAGCTTACTACTGTAAGAATTGTTTAAGTTTAACGTTTTTTTTATCTTTAAGCTCGATGCATGATTTTGATACTTTATCAGTGAGGTATTATATAATTTATTCTCTATATCTTCCTCACTTATTTCTAGTAACACTTTATTGTTTAACTGCCTTGAAAACCCATTATTTCTATCTGAAATATCTGAACATGTTGTTACAGAATCTTTGCTATGTAATAAAATATCAACATTATTTTGTGTCAACAGTTCAGCAGGTTTGTAGAAGCTTTTGGTGATTTTCATATGATTAGCATGCCTTGTCGTCAATCCACCAGTCTCAGAGTCTCTTTCAAGACGATGTCCTGACTTTGATCTAGTTAGTTGACGTTGAACATAATGCTCAAGCTCATCCTCTTCCCTTTTTGCAATTATCGTATTAAGTAGGATCAAAAAAGAGCCAACAATTATTAAAAAAAGACCGATTGCAATAAGCTCGTTCCACCACTCCCTTACTGCTTTTTTTTCTACTGACATTAGCTCATTGGGTAAAATTCCACTTAGTAGTAAAAATATGCCTGAGACGAAAAAAACAACGCCAATGTGTAACATTCCAATTGAAGTGACAACTTTTGAATCTACTATTCCTGATGTAGTACGATTATAAATATTACTTTTTCGTTGAAAATGCATATTTTGATCAAGAGAATAAGAAGAAGCTTTTGGTGACGTTAATCCACTTTCACCAGACTGACTACTATAACGACGCTCTCTTGCACGGCGTTGCTCATCTCGACGTTTTCTTTGTCGTTTGATGGCTAATGCTGAATGTAATCCAACCGCGTGCATTCTGTAACACCGAAAAACACTTCTAATTATTCTATTTATTCGGAAATATACTTTTAAAATCTGTTTAAAAAAATAAATAATTTAGAAATATAATGAACTGTTATTACTTGGGACAAATTTAAATAACTAAATTGCATTTTTAATCCATAATATTTAACGGGACAAAAGTAACTTCAATATTTTCTTACTCATGATAAGGAATTTTCACAATAATCAATTTGTCAATACTATCATAATAATACCTAAGACCTATGTTAAATTTTTGGAGCCTTCTATAATATTTATTAATACGACGATAATTATAAACGTGAGCAGCCAATAAAAAAGACATACATAAAATAATAAGTAGAGAAGAAAATCCAACTATCTTTATTTGTTTTGATAAATCAAAGTATCACTTCATGAAACAAGTAGCACTTTGTTGTTTATAGCACCAATATAGTTTTAACAAGTAGAATCGTCCATACAATATAAATTTCTAGTAATAGTGCATGTGCGAATCACGGATTATTGTCAACGTTTTTGTTACCACTGTATCCGTGTGTATTCTTTATTGAGATGTACAATCATTTCTTTGGCTTTCTCAGGGGTGTTAAGTTTTGCGATATTACTATTTTATGAATTTCAAAACCATTATTAATAAAAAATGTATTCCTTTAACAAGTCACCAGAAAGGAGTGTTAATATCGATTATGTAAATGTACAGTCATGTGTAATAAAAAAAAAAATTTACTTTTATCGACATAGGAGTAAGAACAAGAGAAGAAATTTTCAAATAAGAAACCGTATATTAATGCAATAAATCAGGATAAAACATTTTTTCTAGATACACAAACAAAACGAAGATAGATTTCTTACTACTTATTAAATAAAAATTTTGAAAAATTATCTTACTGCATTTTTTAGACAGTGCATCAAATAATCTTTGTTTACTGAACAATGTTATAAACTGATTGCAATATACCAAAAAAACTATGCATGTACAATAGTTATTTGAGAAAGTCTTAGATCCAACACTAAACGATTACAATTTCTTATAGCTTGGACTAAAATGTATTGCTTTATTAACTTAAAACCTAACGTTAGTTAATAAGTGGTATTTTGTGCTCTGGCACAAAATTCTCAGAATTTTAAGATCAGTAAAAGCTCAACGATATGCAAAAAGTTTACAGAATTGCTGTACATACTACTCAGGAGAAAATTCCAGCAAAATTTCATTTTAATGTTTTTGTTTGCGTTTTCCTTCAAAGACTAAGGTTTAACATAATAGATGACTTTATCTAAAATGTAATTGTACATTATACTTTCACTCAACAAAAATGTCTGCCATACAAATAAGCACATGTACTTATAACTGCGATGATCCACCATGTAAACATTTAAAATCACTACTTAAAATAACTTGTCACTACAAAACACGATAACATTATTTTTGTCACAAACTTTAAAAATAATTTAATTTTTTTTAATGTTTGCATTAAAACTATAATAAGCTGACTTAAGGCACTTTTAAAATCTTGTTAGTACTGTTCCTTACTTTACATATAAACTTTCTTATTTCTGTTATTCTTAAAGTATATCCGTTTTTGTATGTCCACTTCTTTATTTCTTGCAAAAATTACCTGGAATGTGCGCTGGATATATCTATCACCAATTGGGAAGGAATCTTCATTACCTCCAGTGGCCAATTAAACTACGTTTCTTGGTCAGTTACTAAGCCAATGAAGCTACTACTTTGGCATAAAACAATATTAAGGTGAGAAGACAGTACAACAATCGCTACGAAGATATAGATTTTCCAGAGACACTATGCGAGAAAAGATTAATAAACAGTTGTCGAATTAAGAAAAAACAATACTCAGCAGGTAACGTACCAAGAGATGTCATTGGGGCCGATGACCCATAAACTGGGGAGGTGTCACGGACGTGGCTTGGTTCAGTCAAGCAAGCGCCCGTGTGTTGGCACACTAGCGTACAATTGACGACATAATACAGTGCATCTTAAAGTGCAATTAGTACAGTCGTGCTCGGTGGCAGTAGCTGAGTGGTCAGCATAAAGTTTTACTAATCTTTAGGGGATGGGTTGGAGCCCCCGTTCTACCTGTTTGGTGGACCATTTCACTATAATATTTTAGACTCTTTAATCCATTTATTTCATAAATTGTTATAACTTGCTCCTCATCTACACGAGAATCCCCAAAGTTTGCTTCGTAACAAGCGTTATTTGGTGATGGTGGTGGGATATAAATTAGAATATCGCCTAAGGTTCCGTAACAGTATTCAGAAGAAAAAAAAATTTTAGTCAACTTCATACATATCATGTCACTATCAAACTAGATGACATAAATAATCTTGGTAAATTAAATAAAACTTATCCATTTCTATCATTAATGTAAAAATAAATACTTACTTAATTCATTTACGGTTCCATGTATAATTAGGCAAGTGTTCGCAATACATGAACTTATACCAAAAAAGAACAAACGGTTTTACCCATTGTTGCAGGTATAAGTATAGGAGACTTATATCCCTAATGTCCCTGTAAGGGTTCTTTTCCGCCGTTTAGGTAAGTAAGATAAGGAGACAATTTCCCGTTGCGTGTATTCAGTAAGAAGACAATATCCCGTTTAGTAAATTCTTTATCAAAGCCTTGAGTCTAGTTTCACTGTAGGTTGATGGTCAACTTCCAATTAGGCGTTGTTCTCTTCTTCATACAGCTTCTCACCACCATTGTGTTAGAAGTAGTGAGGACCCCTGTGGAATTTTATGTAAGTAGAAATTCCGAGTTCAATAGAGCTGATACAGTATTGTTGCAATCATCTAGGGGTATTAGAGCGATTCGTAGTAGCGTGGTGCTGATGACCACCTGAATTTGCGCCTTTCAGCGCGCATGTGAAGACATTGACGTTTCAAGCTAAAGCTAGCTGACGTCCGTAACACGTCCAAAGGCCGCAGGTTCTCATCCTCCAGGACTCCCTAACGTCGCAGTGCCGGAGAAAAAGTTATTGCATCCATGAGTGCCCGTGTTATATTATGATAATCTTATAATAGATAAGTCCAATTTTTGTTGAGAAAAAGTTACTTCATTCATAGGCCACTGCTTATGTTACATTCTAATACACAATCTTATAAAAGGTAAGTACTAATTTTTGTTTAGAAAAAGTTGCGTCATTCATAGGCCGCTGCCTATGTTATAATCTGATACACAATCTTTAAGTATGTTTGTATTTTTGAGAAGAAGTTACTTTACTAACAGGCCGCTACTCGTGTTACATTCTTACACATAATATTATTTATTAAACTTAAATACTTATTTTGGAGTTTGTTATTTTTTTCTTTCCTTTTTTTGTTATTTTTATCTTATTTATTAATTTATCTATTTATTTATTATTATTACATTTTTTTTTTATCAATGATTATGTTAAGGTCAGTCATGTTATCCAAGTGCTAATGTATCAGGAGCGATGTGTGGCAATGCGGCCGTGCATGTATTTTGACAGTATACGCGATTGATAACGTTACGCTGATTGTGACATTTAGCTTCATACAGCGCACTGCCAGTACCAATGAGGGAATGCGGGAAGGTATTAAGAGGAAAATGTAATGTAAAATATCTGTGGTTTTGTCAGTTTTTGATCGCTGTCTGCTTGATTTACATTACGGTGAAAAGCGACAGTGCAGGAATTTTCTTTCTCTTCATATGAGAGAATTGCAGCAGTCATTATTTTGTATCGTAGCGTTCGACTTATTTTTTTTTTTTTAATTACTCCTGCTACATCTCTGCTATCTCACTTTTTGCTTCTTGCATATGACATTCACATTGTCTTATCGCAAGAAGAGAAAAGAAGTCATTTGGCATGGGTAGCTGTGGTGTGCGACATCGGCGTCATTCACATTGTCCGTCTTATCGCTTTTCGTTTGATCGTTTTTCTTCTGCACCTCCGCTAGCTATTTAGTAGGCTGTGAGTAGCTGTGCAGTTGTGTATAATTGTTGCCAGTGATTTTAGAGCCTTGCTGCAGTCAACTTCTCTTCAGTTTTTGCACTTCTCGTTTTGTTTCTTGTGTGTGATGTGTTATTGTGTTAATGTTTATCTGTTGTGGTAAAGTGTGTTTTAGGATGGGTGTAAAACGGTATGATTTAACAGGTTTTTATGTACTTTAGTGATTCAAGCAGTGCCCTAAATGGGAAAGAATAAAAAATCTTTATTTTTTTGAAGCCACGATCAGCACCTCACACATCACGTCTGGTTATTTCCTTTTTTATACGGGTACATAGATTTTTTATAAACAAATGGTTAATAAGCCCGTGTCATGTACCAGTTTTCAGCTTAAGCTTTTTTTTTTAAAGTAAATTTAGATTTAAGTGGGTACTTGACACCAACTTTCACAATAATACATCCTGAAAGGTGTAGTCTACGATGTATTTTAGAGCCTCTTATAATTGTTAGGCAGATACTTTTCTCGACGCTCGTTTTATTTTATCAATGTGGGTTGTTAGGATAAGCAAGTTGTCAGCGTACTTGAAAGAGTGATAATTGAGGTCTTATTGAGGCTCTTCGGTGTTCAACGAAGCCCACGGAGGTTTGTCTTTTGGTGTTTTTGCCCTTTTAGCAATATATCGTGTTAGAGAGGGATCTTAATGATTATTTCCCTCTATTTCGTTGCATGCATCATCTGTACTGACATCATAACTTTCTCCATGAGTTGCATCCTTATTAGGTTGACTGTAATGTAAAAGTTTTAACGTCCCATTATTGCCTTCATCAACAGATCTTTTCTGGTAGTCGGTCTCAGATCAAATTGTGTTATACCCTTCCATGTTGCCAAGATTTTTTTTTGTGCTTAAAGCCGTCCTTAATGTTTCCAATATAATTTCTTCTTGTTTTGCTAGAAGAAGGAATCTATCTTTCTTCGTTGGCTCTAGCTCTACGTTAACTAGTATTGTTTGAAAGTCATAGCAATGTTCTGTTATTGGTGTCATCTTAATCTTTGGTTGTTTG